AACACATTATAAGGGTTTGGAAAGTGGGTCAAGCTCATGCAGCGTCATGCAGGGGGAGCGTATGGTTCTGATCTGGCCGCAGGGCTCACTCTGTTCTGCTCGATGCCAGACCTCCAGCCAAAGTCCATCACCCACACTCACCCCACCACTGCCCTGGCCTCCCCCCCCCCCACCCCCCTCGTCTTTGTGACAGTGCACTGAATACTGAAGAAGCAGGCTGGTTTACAAAGGATGCTCTTTTCTCTGTCTTCTGTACTCCCTGTTCTCTTTCACCCCACATTGTTTTTTACTCTCAACTCTCTTAGCTCTCTCCCTTCCCTGCTCAGTCTCTGAGCTTTCTTCTCTGCACCTCTCATTCTTTCTCAATTTCTTCATCCTCACCTTTGCTTCTCTGCCTCCTACCCTCCTCGCTGTATTTATTTCACAAAACCTTCCATCTACTCCTTACTGCCTCGCCTCCTTTCCTCCCCTCATTCTCTCTCTCTCTCCCTCCCTCCCTAGAAAAGCATCTATTATTAACAAACACCTCTGACTCTCGCCAAAGACTGAACCAAGGTTCAGGCCAAGTTCCTCAGCATTTTAATCATCAATAATGAGCAAGAAATAATAAATTAAAATGCTTCAATCAAGCCTGTTTGGGTGACAGCAATTAATTCATGCCTCACATACAGTATGTGCAGCTCGTCTTAACAGGTGTTCCCTGCATAACAATGTATTTTTACCCAATATGCTGTATCCCAGGTTTCATGCTGTGAGAGGCATACCAGCATATGTCATATAAATCGATCAAGCAGCATGCAATGACCAAAATACACAGTGAATGAGAGCTCACATTCCAGCAGATAATGCACATCATGTCAGTCCTGCTAACAGGGAGACATTACTGTAACTGTAGAATCAGTCGTGCATGGGTTCCCGCCGGAGGGGTTGTGTTTAACCTCTCTTGAGGCAGGTTTCTGCAGCGGCTGCCATCCGAGGGCACAGGCACTTTGCTGTCAGACGAGCGCAGCTATGTACAGGCGAGGGGTGTCCCTGGTGACGAGTATGGCCTCTTTTTTTATAATCTGCTGCCCTCCTCTCTTTGAACAAACACAAGAGCTCAGAGCGGTGACTTGTCAGCAGTCCACCACTTAGAAAAACCACAAATTCTTTACCACTTCAGCTGGTGGAGCTTGCTGAACTACGGGCTGCAGCTATTGTTTTGTTCGGTGAAAGGGATACAGCACAGCGATGGCTGCCCCTAATACTGCTGCTTTAGATAGTAGGACAAGTTGGACGAATTCACAAGCCAAGCTGGAAATCAGATAAATCTGAGTATGTCCCGTTTATCACTGGTTTATTTATACTGGTAAACATCAAACAGAATCAACTGTAAAATCAAGAGCTGACATTCTCCCTTACTTGTGATTATCATTTCTCTTACATAGATTCATTTACAATGGTTGTCATTGGTGCGACATGATAATGTCAGTAAGTAAAAAATATGGAAACAAACCGTTCCTCACGATCTCATCCACACGTACAATCAGATTACTTCCCACACCTGTCACGCTGTTGGTCGTGGTTCAGTTGTCACCCAAATGAGCCAAGAGAGGAATCTTATCAGAGCTGAGTCTTTATGTAATTATGCAATAAAAATGTATCGATTCAAACCAGAGGGCAGTATTAGGCTGAGTCGACTTGTGCCACAAAAAATGCTGCATTGTGCTGTGTCTGGGAGTGTCAGTGATGAAAGGATGGAATGCTGTCTGTCTACTACATTGTGTTCCGACACCTCTGGGATGTAATGCACATTCATAATCTCCCCCAAAACTTTGCCAAGGTATTTAATATATGTCACCATCTGTCTGTAGCGCTGGAGACAAGAATCATGTTCAAAGTCTACAGAGATTGTATCACTTAAAGTAACAGGCAATGAGACTGTGAGTATAATAACCCCATCCCCTGTGTGTTTCTTTTTTTTTTTTTTTTATAATACAGTATGTCCAGCTTACTGCATTCAATACCACATGAATACTTATAGTTGTACTGAGATATACAGAATCTCACACAACTTAACATTTTTGTACATGAAGTTGTTTTATACATTGTTGTGCCTTTCATCAAAGTTTGGTCAAATGTCATTATAAAGAAGACTTTCATAGGCTATAAGGTAGAAAACAAATGTGAAATGTTTCCTGTAACCCTGTATGCCTGCCTTGCTCCCAAACATATGAGTGTAGCCTACAGGTCCTTCAATAGGGTGCACAGAAGCTCAAAACAAGGGAGACAATTCCTGTCTCATCCACAGCGGGCCACATATCCACTTTAAGAAAACGAGAGAATGCGGGTGAGAGGCTCCAAATCATAAAGTGCTCTCCAGAAGCCACTCTGACCTGGAGAGTTTGTCCCTGGCCCGGTGAATGTTTGTTGTGCTCTCGAGTTGTGGCAGCTCTCCGCTCATCGACAGGCTGCGCTTGGAGCGCAGACTGGCCCCAGGTTTGGGGTAGGCCACATAACAGCGCTCTCTGTATGAGTCTGCATTAAGGGAGTGCCTGCGGTTCACCCTCATTCCCCCTGCAGGCACAGTCATGTAATGCCGAGTGGCCTGGTGGGGCCGCGGACCCCTAGGAATGGAAGTCCATTTGGTTGGTTGGCCAAGAACTGCTAGAGCGATGGTGTGGGCCATTTTAACATCTGACGAGTTATTCCGGTTCATGTTATCAAGCTCAACATCTGCCTGAGCTTCAGCTTGGTGAGCCTCTGAGGGTTTTGGTGGAGCACTGGAACGTTTGGGTCTCAGAGCGCCTGGGGAGGCTGGGTGCCAGCTGTGGCTGCCTGCAGAAGTAGAGACAGTGCAGTCAGGGACGGAGGGTTTGGTGGTGGCTATAACAACTGGTGGTCGCTGCTTGGCTGGCTCTGGGGGTGGCAGGGCAACTCTGAGGCAGTCCTTGTCGTTCTTCTCTGGACGTAGAACCTGTTTAGAGAGGGATTTGGGAATCCCACAGCCCTGTAGCTGTCCGTCACTGCTCAGTGACCGAATATCTCCCATCTCTAGAGGCTGACAGGAGACAAATATGGAAAGGGAGAGAGAAGAATGAAACCAATTGATAGAGACACTCTTGTTTCAGTATCAGCAAAGCTGAAGAACACAACAGAAGAAAGCATGCCAAACTGACCTTATCTGCATCTCCCTGGTTACACACCCTGTAGCGCACAATGAGGAAGATGATAAAAGCAAGCACTGAGGCCACAATAATCCCTCCAATGATAATAACAATGGTGCCGCCAAGAAACTGGGACTGCATGAAATGACATCTCAAGTACTGTGGGTCGGTGGTGAAGTGGACACAACCTATCACCCTGGTGGCAGTCAGCGACGTCACCTGGTCATCGTAGATGGCCAGCACACACAGGTCATAGTGCGTACCAGCCGCCAGGTTGTTTACCAAGATGCTCTTACTGGTCGGGGGTATCATTCTGTGGAAAGAGAAGAAGCTTTGTGAGTTTGGACAAAGATGAGAATGGGTTAAATGAGAGGACACAGAAGCAAATCAGATGATACGACATAGTTTTGTAGGGATAAAATGGCATGACAATCATTTATCTCTGAGGAGACTAGTCAAGATCTGTCTAGACACAATCTTTGTGATATTTGATTTATTCCCTCCAGCATCATTGCAGATAAAAGGTTGCTCTCTGTAGGTAGGACACAGTATGCCTCTGTTTGTTCAAAACAACAGGATTACAGACTCAACTCTCTTAAGTGTCTTGAGTTTGGTAGTGGCTGCTGAACACCATATGTGCTGTTCACTTGGAGAAACAACGTCTGTGTGACGATCCTGTCATATCACAATGATTAGCACTATAAATGGAGGGAAATGAAAAAAATGCTGCGAATGCCAGTTTTTCAGATATACAGTAATGCTTTTTTTGTAAAACAGTGGCTGACTACTATTTCATCTTCCTATCAGTTACATTAGTGCTGACATTTTGTTTGATTTTGTTGATTAAGCATTATCAGGGTTTTGCACATAGTAAATGATACATTCCGACACAAGGGGATTATGAGTCAAGGAATAAGAAATCAGATACAGTGCATTAGTCTGTCTTCTTGATGGGATTATTATACACTGCAAATAATCATGATGACCCCCAGGTCTTATTCCTAATGACTAAATATCCAGAGGGAGTTAAGCATTCAAAGTGGACTATGCGGGTAAAACAAGGGTCAAACTGGATTATCGTTCCATTCAGCTGACATTTATTTGCATACACTCAGATTCAGGTATAATGCTCCTTTCCTAGGTTAAATTCTGTTATTTAGTCAGTAGTTAACAGAAAATGAGCGTTTTCTTCTTTCATGCTTAGTATTATCAGATATTTCTGCTTGTACCTATACACCAGTGAATCATCATAGGTCCCATTATACTGGATCTGGAACATGCGTATTCCAGGAATACTCCTCTGGAAGTTAAACTTCACCAGCGCTGAAGTGGATGTGGCCTCAGCAATTACTACTTTCTTCTCCTGGCTCGTCTTCGCATTCCCTAAAGGCACCCCACCCGCTTCTGCCCCTGTCTTAGTCACTGTGGCAATATCTGATGATCCGGGGTCAGGCTCCTGCTCTGTGACTGTGTTGTTGGTGATATGAGGGAGCTTAGTGATGACCAGATCTACCGTCTGCTGGGCTTCGCCGGCCGGGTTGGAGGCCACGCAGGTGAAAGAGCCTGGAACACAAAGCAATTATTTATCATCTTCCCTGATATTTATTATTATGTATAGGCCAAGTACTACAGGCCACATGTGCATTAAAAGACATAGGCCTATATAATCATCTTCAGTCATTAAAGGGATGTTAACATTTCGTATTTGCTTTCTTACTGGCAGTTAGATGAGAAATTTGATACCATTCTCTTGTTTATATGCTAAGCATGCAGCTGAAATAAGCAGCCAATTAGCTTAGCTTAGTATAAAGACTGGAAACGGGGGAAAACAGCTGGCCTAGCTGTGTAGCCATACCAGCACCTCTAAAGCTCACTCATCAACATGTTCTATCTCATTTGTTATATCCACTTAAAAAAACTTCACAGTTCTGTAAAGCTTTGTTAAAACAACTTGTCAACAGAATAAGGTTGCTCGCATAAATCTCCTCATAAAAGAACAAAGTGAATTTTTACTATTTGTTTTTTGTACAGACTTGTACAGATATATAGATTAATGTGCTTCAGGGGTGATTGTAGACTCAGTTTGTTACTTTCAGAAACAGCTGTCCCCCCTTGTTTCCCGTCTTTATTCTAAGATAAGCTAACTGGCTGCAGCTTCATACATAACACTCATGAGAGTAGTATCAATCTTCTAACTCTTGGCAATAAAGCAAATACATATATTTCCAAAAATGCAAAAACAAAAACTGAAATTTTAAGTATGTGATGAATTGACCACTAACTCATAAAGGTGTGAAAAAGTAAATCCTCTAGATATACATGAAACTTAACCATGAAAGTGAAGAAGTCACTTTCATTCTATAGGGTGACTTTTCTCACTGTGTGCCAGACATTCTTCCCCACTCTAAACTTTATTACCTGGTGTAGACAACTACTCTAGTCCTATAGGCTTCTGCGTACACAAACAAACAGCTAATTTTGTTCAGTCAACACCACACACACACACAGCCACCGGGGTGTGTAAACAAACCGGAGTCCTTGACAGTGCTGATGAGGATGTCCAGCGTGCCATCTGTGTGGACGACAGCCCTGGAGGAGTTGGACATCAGGCGTCCATCAGGGGCGATCCAGTGAATGATGGGGTCGGGGTCGCCCCTAGCCTTACAGCGCAGAGTCACACTCTGACCCTCCAAAGCTCGTAGCTCCTGAGGCCGAAAGAGGCACAATGGTTAGCGGGAGGGTGACAAAATGATTAGATAATGCACTACATCCTAAAACTGAAAAACCCTCTGAGCTAACAGTGATCATTTGTAGTTTACCAAGACAGTCTGATTAAATGAGATACTGTAATTAATATCTTTTTTTATGGTGTGGTGTTTTAAAACCTCATTTTCTGTAAATATAATCAAGTTGATAATTGTCACAATATCAAATTATCATGATTATGAAGGCAATAGAATCAATATGACAGTCCACTGCAGTGTACACACCGGAGTCTAAGTGAAAAATAGTGCTCTGTGTAATTATGTAAGCGAGGTGTGCTGAATGTGAATGAGATGGTATGGCTGTTATTATTTGGCAAGGAATTGATCAGATAATTTTGTTTGGACATATGAATCAAGAGCTAAACAACTGTAAGCTGTCACTGTGTAATAAGAGTGTCACCACTGATCCATCAAAAGGAACTCCTGTAAAAACGCTCCACTGGCTACATTTTGATTGCTTTTTTTTTAAGTAAATCCTTTACATTTTACAATATTCAGTTAGCTGTGTGCCCAGATGAGTACCAGAAGTCTTGGAAGACTCCTCTGGCTCACAAAGCTAATACATGTCATGACAGTCAAAGAAAATGCAAAGCGCCACCTTGGATTAACCGAGGCATAATCCAACGTCTGGCTCAGACAATTAATTGCTGTCTTAACTGAGATTATATACCTGAGAGTGCCTGGTGATGAGAGGAGGTTCACACAAGAACTCTTCCTCTGAAACAGTCCAGAAATAGCGTCCGGAGAGGTGCTGCGGTGAAGCACAGGTCTCTAGATCATCCTCCCTCCTCAACCTCCGCAGCCAGAGCAGCTCACAGTTACACCTCAGAGGGTTCCCTCCGAAACTCAGCGCAAAGGAAGAAGGTCCCATTATCCCAGAAGTGGCAAGGGAGCCTGCTCTTTGGAAAATGGGGTCAGGAGGAAGCTTCTGCAGCTTGTTGGAGGTCACATCCAGCCTTTTGAGCTTCTGCAGCCCAGAGAAGGTGCCCTCTGGGATGTAGCTGAGCATGTTGTGGTCTAAATTGAGAGTGTGGAGATTGGGCATCCTCTGGATGGCCACCCATGGGGCACTTTCTAAGTTATTATAGGATAAGTCCAGCTCTTCCAGTGCTGTCACATCATTAAAGGCTCCGATCTGGATGTGTGTTAGCTGGTTGTTGTTGAGGATAAGGTGGTGCAGCTTGGACATGCCACTGAAGGTGTCGTTGGTGATGTGGATTAGACGGTTGCTGTCGAGGTGAAGGGCTCGTAGGTTCTCCAAGTCTTTGAAGGCATGAGGCGCGATGGCACCAATAGTGTTCCGAGAGAGGGTCAGGTCTACCAGCTTGGTCATGTTAGCAAAGTCTTTGCGTTTGATGCTGGTTACAAAGTTATCCCCAAGACGCATTTCCACTGTGTGTCTGTCGATATTTGGGGGCACAAACAGCAGCCCCTTTTTGTCACACAGAGTTGCCAGGTTGGGGTTAAGCACCTGGCAGACACAGCGTTTGGGGCAGATTTGAACTTTGTGCGCCTTCACAGCCACACTGACGACTATGAGATAAACCAAGAGAGACTCCATTTGGTTTTTCAGTCAGGTCAACAGACCTAAAAAGGAACAGAGCAAACAGAGAGGAACTGTTTATAAAACAAAGCATGAAATCTGGGATTGTATTTTGTGTCATTAAAGCTTTATCAAGCTTTAATTTTTGTAACTGTCTAATCACATGTGACATTGAAAAATCCCTCCTCAAGAGAGAACCGGTGGTCTCTGCTCTGTAAAGTTAAAGCTTTTCGGTTAGATTTGAAACACTATCATTTCCAGCTCACAGATAAGATTTACAGAGACCAAGTACTGAACAGAAAGCTAAGTGGGTGAATGCCTGAACAAACAATAAATGCTGTGCAATTAGACATGAAACTAATTAGTCACCTGCAGGTTTGAGAGTGAATCATCCCCAGTAATCGTGTATGATTTTTGAGACAGCTCTCCTTTTTAGCCCCCTGCTCAGTCGCTTGTACTTTTTGATATGATAATGCCAGTCCTTTTATGTTTGTGTACAGAAGGATTAAAGTCTAGACTGGCAGTCCGGGGCTTCATCAGAATTTGACTCATATCTTCCAGGATCGTATCACCAATAGGAAAGGATGACTGGGCCCAGTGCCTCAGTGAGGATATGCTATGCCTTGCTATTGATTTTCTCTCTGCTCTCTCTGCTGCTACTCTTACTTATGACACAACTGAGATGGGGGATAAGGAGGAATCCATTTGATGAATCCTGAGACCTTGTCAGGAATGTAGCATGTCATAAAACTAAGAAAGCGGGCATCAGATCACAGCTCTGCAGGCGTACCATGCAATGCGTCAAAGCAATAATGACATTGGCTGAGATTAACTTAGAACTGAACTGTAGGATCATTTTAGTTACACATGTGACAATCGCCCCTCTGTGTGTCCCATTACTGCACACAGAAAGGAACACCAATCCAAATAAACACAGAAAAACAAGAGATCCAATTCCACAACTGTATTAAAAATCCAGAGGCTAACCTTTAAATACAGAAAAGAATGGCTGATTTATGATTATAGCTTTCTGTGGTTTGCTAGTAATGCGTCCATTGTCGATGGTGGGTCTTGGAGAGTGTGCATAAAAGTCTTGCCTCAGCAAAGAGCCTGCCAACTGAGTGCCTTCATGCTTCAAAAGCTTCTGTTGCACCAGAGCTGTGGCACAAAACCCACGGTGTAATAACCTTGACAGTCGGAGTATGAGGAAAGTATCAGAGCAAAGAAAACATCAGACAGGACAGGAGTGACATGCTGCCATGTGGGGGCATGTTTTTAACATGAAAAGGGAGAGTGAAGGGAGCATGGTAGCATCCGCTGACAATGGTTACATTTTGACAGCTGGGTAGAATATAACAGCCCGACAGGGGAGAGGTCGCTTTGAAATGGCCCATAACAGTCAGGGGATGAATGAAATCATTGGAGGGAGCATGCTGGGTTGACATTTTCATGAATATTGCTGATTAAACAGTGATGCATCAATGTCTTTCTCGGCCTATTTTTACAACAAGGGACAACTTCATCAAGACACACAAGAGCCCCAGTTTGTGGAATGTAGTCTGAAGAGCGGGGGTGCAGAGATCCGACTGTGGAATCATTATTAAACGTTGTCGTGATTCTCTTTTAAAATGGCAGATGTCTTGAGTGTCAGTCAGTGCTGCAAAGCTATGTGTAGTGCTTTCCAAGTACCTGTGTGGAAAGTTTCATATCTATTTTTATTTGTGCATGCATGTGTAACAGAGGATAGTCCACAAAAGCTGAGGTGTACACAAGTGTGTTCATGCTTGTGTGCCTTCTACCTTCTGCTCTGACTGACTGGCACAACCTGTGGATGTGCAATGAAGTGGAGAAGACCTGCTACATCCAGACTTGAATGGCACTGAAGACGCGATATTGATTCAGTCTGTGGCGATGTTTTTTTTTTTTTATTGTTGAAAACTCAGCCAAACGTGAAGAGAATGGTTACAACGGTAATCCCTACAAAATATGTTCTGTGAGGACAAAAGGACGGCTCCTCACTGCTGAGACAGGGCAGGAAATATCTGGCGCTGTCTCCATAATTTGCATTTAATTATGGGTGTTCCACAAAGATTTGCATAACAGGTAGCATTGATCAGGTACAAGAACAAATAAGCAGACAATCAATCAATGTATTTATCAATCACGCACTTCATCTTTAAATGTCACAACCCTGGAAAATCATTATCTTCCAAGTTGGGCGGTTCATTATAGTGAGGTGACTTTGGAGTGTCACAGATACACAAGAAATCTGATTTTTCTGATACATTAACTGTAATCTCCTTTTTGGTCAGTCACATGTTCCTTTACTACCTCTGAGCAGGTCTTTTCATCCTCGAAGAACAGAGCAGACTGACAGCACACACCCACATATACACACCAGTGGGTGGACTTGTGCCTAATAGAAGTAGCTCACTACACAACAACCCCTAGCTATGGAGACAGACATTCATGTGTAGCAGCAGCATACTGTAGGAAAGGATATCTGTGGTGTCCCTGGGGCAGCATTCGCCAAGAAAAGCCTTATGCAGCATACTGCATGTCAGTTGGCTGGTGAGGTCATGGGGGATATTTTTTCAGATGGTCTAACTTATGCTGTAGCTCATGTGAGGAAGCCTCTGCAATCCATATCTGGGCATGGAATCAGGAAAAGCAGCCCTGTGAGAGGAAGTTAATGAGATGAAGTTTGCTTGGTTTGGCTCCACACAGGTCGACACAGTGGCACATGGCAGTGTCTCTACACCATCTCGTCTGGGTTTCTCAGGGAAAGGCAGCCGGACGTGTGCCACTGCCAAAAATAAGCTCTGTTATGTCAAGGAGGTAAACTGATGCTCCAACATGTTGGTAGAATAGTATTGACAAAACAGTGAAATAGGTCCTCAGCTTGCCTGCTTTATAGGACCAAATGGAGCTGCCGCATCTGCAGAAGAGGATCATATTTTGACTGAACTGGTAGAAAATGTATTGCGTCGAGTAAATGCTCCACTAGTCCAAACATGCTGACCAAACACTGATGCTGTTATGGACCGTTTAACTAGCACATCTGTGTTTGTGATTGTGGGTATGTGCTGTGACACCCTTTTCCTACAATCTGCCAATGCGATAGCTCTTGGGTGACAGCCTTGATGCCATGGCAACACAGATAACGTCAGTTTTGGGTGAGATGTAATCAGTGGCTCATTTTCAGATCACCTAATAATATTTTAGAATAAAGAGTCGCCTCTGGAGGAAAGGCCCTTGACAACTGAGGATATGTTTGGCGGCCAGAGCAGACCCATTGTACAATTTAGGACACTGATGAAAAGAAAGGAGATTCTGCACTCTGCTGATTTTGTACTGGATTCAATTTTTGAGTGACTGAATCATTATCCTTTTTTAGTCTTGCATGTAATAAAAACCAGCTTGTGTGCGAATATAAGTGTGTGCATACAAGAGTGCCAGGGGGACAGCGTCCTAAACAGACCCCACTGCATCAATAGAAGTGCTGTTCATCAACATTTACAACTCCCTCTTGTAGTGTTTTCCTTCACACAGTATCACAGGAAATTCAGTGCTGCCTTGATACAGGTATGTGGGGTATTTCTCATGACTGGCGCACGAGTCCAACAAATAAACAAGCAAATGCACACAGAAAACACTTCATTTTGGAGAAGTTGCAGTCTCTTACTGAAGAGGGAGACAAATTAAAATGCTAATCACTGGCTCTGGATCTTAATTCTTGCACCGCTGTGACGTGCCCTGATGTGAGGGGCTTATGACCTGGGATTTTCTTCTGGAAAGAGAAATGCAGAACACCACCTCTGAATATCAATAAGGCCCCGTCTTGTCAATGCTCTCCACAGTATGGGCCCCACAGGACTGTAGACTTTCAGATTTGACAATTCCCAAGTGCAATTTCAGGTACAGGAAGTGTAAGAAAAAGCTAAATTCCTGTTTCTCTTTGTGATAATACTGCGCACAATTACAAGTTTTCTTTTTATTGCACTTTAATGTATGAAAGCAAGCACAGCCATAATTAAATCCATGATAAGTGTATTCCCCCTCTTCAAAGAACCTCTGGATCTTTTTTTTTTTACCTCACCCAGCAGCAAAATTGCTAAATAATGTATAATCTTCTCTGTCATTGTGTTGTGTTATCAAAAACAGTACTCACTACAAACACATCTCAGTGTTTCAAATCTTAATGAAAGCATTTCTTTTGCTTATTTTGTGGTGAGTGAAAATTTGGGTCAGTGAAAGTGAAGCTGTTGTGCAGAATATCCTGGATGCTGATGAATCACATATCATTTCTCTGCTATCAGTAGCAGCGTATAAGCTACATGAGTGCATAAACAACATTAAGGGCAAATAAAAGCCACAAAATGAGGTGTGGGCTTGGTTTCACTGGTGTAGGAGCTACAACTGTGCCTCGGGCACTCATGAATAATAAGATATGGGATAACTGACAATCAATATAATACAGGAGCATTATACCTCATCCTTTATTTTAAAAAATCACTAGGACCATATTTTCACCACTCTTCATCAGTCATCTGACAAACATGTCCCCCTGTCCACCCACTTATCCTATTATTAATTGTGTTACTCAGGCTAATTCAGACTTTATCACAGCACAGACCAGCAGATAGCACTGGATCGTCTGTGCTGATTAAACACACAGTAAAACACAATACATCTGAGCTCAATCTCAATTTGCGCGCATTGAATAATGGGTACATTATTCTCAGTTTCACGTGTAGGAGAAAAAACAGCACAGAGTGCAGCCAAGTGGATACTAAAAATAAAACTGCTATCTGACAGCGTTCCTTGGCAAATTAGATTTTTTGACCTTGCGGTACAGTTCCCGGGCTGGTGGGTTACAGCCACTACCCCTGTCACAAGGGAAAATCTAGACCCTTTCAGATGAGTCCTGAGAGAACTACTTCGAGTCAGTATTGACTGTCTCTCGTAAGACATTTCCCCAAAAGAGTTCAGAGGCAGCCTATATACTGTGATACTGAATTTACCTTGCAGATGAAACATCAAGACAAGTCAAAGGAGGGTGAGTTTGAGCTTGTTTCCTCCCAGGGGGGCTGAGAGCATACCGAGAGTGGCTTGCCTATAATGGGACCTCCGTCGCCTCTTGGAGATAATTTAGGTGTCCCGAAACACGCGTCTTGGTTCCTATAACATGTGACGGCCTGCAAAACCAGCGATGCCCTTCATGAAATCCATTTCTGGCAGATAAAGGGCGATTTCTCTGCGATCTCCTCACATCAGAGAAATGCAACTCAGATTTTCCTCTTTGATGAACAATGCTGGAAAACGCAGCCTGGAGGGTCCCGGTGTGGCTCCGATGGCTGCAGCTGTACGGGATCGCCTCTACTGCGCATCCGCCTGTGTGCACCTCCAGAAGAGAAAACGCCTTTGTAAGCGACAGGCTGCTTTAATATCTACAGCGCTGTGAGTGACTGGTGCTGTTCCGAGTCCAGCCAGATGTTCAGATCACATTCACTGGGTTTTTACTGGCGACGCAGGGCTCATGGCGAATTAATCCAGATTGACCGAAAGGTTGCTGCCATAATATACGCCTCCCCCCCCTTCTGCCCCCGGACTACTGTCAACCACCGACCCGGCTCCATTTCTGACCAGGGGTGCTGTGCTCGGAATGGTAATCGGGGCGCTCCGAGCTGCACAGAGACCATTTGTGTGCACAGAGAGATGCAGTGCCTCTCAGCCTATCTCACAGGCAAGCATCATAATTTATTCATGTAGGCTAGATTGAACTCTTCTGCACGAAAATGCAGCAGGGCTATCATATAAGAAATAAATGTAATTAAACAAAAAAAGTGTTTAAAGTGTTTAATCTACACATACAGGAGATTAAAAACGAGCCAGGCCATTATTAGACCAATAAGGGTCTAAATAAGCCACATCTTGAAAATCCATGCATTCCATTAGATTAAACCTTTGCTGTTCAGTACTGAATGTCTGCGTTAAGACAAATATAGCAGTCTATAGCTGAATATTCCTTCATGTATTATATAGATTAGTGGCAAGAAAATGTTGAGTTGGCTGAAACTGAAAGCCCTAGGGTGCCTGTGGGTCTGCCTGGCACCCAACCAACCACTATCTGATGCAATGATCCTATAAGGCCTTTTGTGCAAGTTGGAAAAGTAGCCAATGCACCTAAGTCTGTTACAGTACAGTGGCACAGCAGTCTTCATGGGCACGCACATTCAATTGTTTGGTTCCCAACTGCAATGACTTAACGTATAGTGCTCCTCAAGCCTCCCAGCACTTTGAAAATAGATGTTTTTTGTCATCCAGAGAGTCACCCTGACAATTTATATTTCATATCAACAGTTCTAACCAGTTATAACACAACCACTTAAGATCAGCAGCAACAGCCTCAGTGGTTTAAGCATTCATACTTATTGAGAACTGGAATGACATTAGTTTATTGAACTGTGTATCCTGCTGTGTGCACCGTCACTGACTTTACATGTAAAATTTTTGTTGTTTCACTCTTTGTGAGATCAAGACATCAGCAGACCTTCAGGCATTTATCTCAGAACACATGTTCGCAACCTGCAGAAAGCCCTAGAAGAAAAACTGACATTTACCAGTTTCAACAACATAGGAGCATTCTGCTGGTGGGAAGTGTTAATGTCAGGGCCTGTGATGTGACCTATTGTGAGTGTCTCATCATAGTCATTGTGAGCCGACTGTTGGTTTTGCTGTGCTCCTTTACTGTTTTAATTCATGTTGCTCTATTTCTCTCTCTCACTGGTGCATGTCATCCAGGAACTGCTGGTAGATGAGGTTGTCTGCCTGTTCACCCGTCCAGCTCTTCTTCTCCAAAAACAGGCCCACGCTGTCCCGCAGAGGGTCAGCAATGATCCGACTCCACAGGGTCTCTGTTATCCCCAGTAGCTCACGCACATGAGCAGAGAAGACCTGCAGGGTGCACAGCAGGGTTGTGCCCTTTGATAAAGTGTATGTTTACAGTATCTAAAAATTACTTAATAAGAGTCAAGTCTCACTGAGAGTGATAGTGTCTAAACTTTCAAGGAGATCTCACCAAGATTCTGGCATTATGATATGAAAAGGATCAAAGGTTACACTCCTCAAAAGAAATGCATCAGTGGACCTACAAGCTAAACCAATATACATCTTGATGGTATATACAATTCTTGTCTCAAGATCCTTCATTATGAGTTTACACTCACCACAGGAAACTGTTTCCTTTTTTCAGTTTGGTGCTTCTACAATAAGGCAGAGCTGAATACATAGAGGCACTCTTAGCCAATTTAGTTCTGACCGCCGGGATAGGTAAGAAAAACAGTCGCTTTTACTGTAATGTATGGGATGCATCTGATCTGAGGTGTTTGCTGGCAAGTTCCAAAGCACAACTTTAACTGGATGTACACATACAGGTATTTTAAAAATACCAGTATGTCTTTAAAATCTGTGATTCCAAGTCTTGGCAAGTGGATAGAGTTTACATGAATGAGTTTTCTCCCAGTGACGAGGTTGCCTGTGAAACATCACTGTGACAGAAAAGCATAATAAGGTCAGAGCTTTGAGAAGTGAAATATTATCTTGAAGGCTAACAGGCACATAACCTATGATGGTTAGTTATTACTGTTTAGTGAGGCAAATGTTTGAGGTAATGTTAACCTACTTTGTATTGTGGAAATCCTAAAGATTCAATCCATCTTGCAGCATCATCACAACTCCACTGTAGGACCTCCATGTTGCCTGTAAGAAAGTTGCCATGGAAACTGTTACCTGTACTAGGTGTTAATAGCCTAAGTGTTTCTTTCACCAGCCTAATCGCGTTTTTGCCCAGTCATAAACTCTATATTAAAATGTTATGTACTTGAGAAGTGAGAGGTTTTGGTTATTTGGCCACGTTTCTGACACCAAAGCTCCCTAAGAAGGTTTCTATCAGGTAACACTAGGTGTTTATAGGAATAGCCAATCAGATTCTTGTAATTTAGGGCGGCTGGTATATTGCTCGAAGTGATTGGCGTTTAGAGCGGATCTGTCCCGCCCACACCGGATGTAAACAGCGAATGTAGACAGTTTCATAGATTAACAAATCATCGGCGCTGGTGCTAAACACTGACATTCACATAGATGGTGTTTTGTAGATCTGTTCACAGCATTTAAATACCCCTACTCCCTGGAACAGTTCTAGTAGCCAAAGTTCTTTTTGCAATCCGGTGTCTCGTGAGATGGGTCGAAGGAAAAGAAAAATCAGGAAAAGAGGAACTCGACTTTTCACATTGGAAGAATTTTTCTGCCGGTCCCTACTGAATAAAAAAGGTAAAACAAATTCATGCCCGCCTTTTACAGAACTGTTGGCTTTGTTTGACGAGCATGCAACTCAGAATAGCTAACAACCTTTCCTGCTAGCTAGCAATATGTTTGCTTTAACGTTACACACACAGTCCACACTTTCTTTTTACACCCATTTAATATTCATAGGGAAGGTATTTTGTGCATTACATGAACAGGAGTGACAAGTCCAGTGCAGCTCTCAGACTTGGCTCTAATTCATAGTGCCTTGGACATTGAGTTTAACATGAACTGAAGTCAGCTAATGTGTGGTGTTTTACTTCTTGCAGGCCCCCTCCAGCTGGGTCGCATGTGTTACTCCTCCTGAGTGGTAAGAGTTTCCCCTCACCAGCTTTCATGGCTGAGGAATTAATTAATGGATGTTCTGTATTCAGCACAGGTTCCATTCATTTTTACATTACATACATTTTATCACATTGACTGTATCTTGGTGTTTGTTTACAGCTTTTTGTTATTTATTGGCCAATATATTGGCTGGCTGTATTGGTCTGCAATCTGCATGATTTGATTTGGCCTCTATGTACTGTCCTCAGATCTGAATGGTGTGGTCTATGTATTTGACTAAAGTGACTGAGCTAGGCAAAACCTCTATGTAAGGTTTCAGTTTTCATACCGTGGCATTAAACATAAAGGTGGTATTTATTTTATAGCACAAGCTCACAGTGGCATTGCATAGTCAGTGGAAGAGATTCTAAACCATCTATGCATTGAAAAGTCTCATTTCAGTATATATTCACTGACCCTTCCATACTACTACTAACTGACACAGTATGAACTAGCACTAATCTTCCTTCCTTCTGGTTACTACAGCATGCTTTACTGCATGCGTTATACTTACAGGAAGTGATTAAAAAGTAGCTAAGTACATTTACTCAAGTACTGTACTTAAGTGCAGTTTTGAGATATCTGTGCTTTACTTCAGTTTTCCCATCTTCTGCTGCTTTATACTTTGACTTCACTACATTTCAGAGGCAAATATTGTACTTTTTAATCCACAACATTTATTTGATAACTTTATGTACTTTACAGAATCATGTGAATAAAACAAAATAGAGTTTAATATTAAGATTTGATTGGTTTATTTAAATGCTACTCAGCAGTATGTAAAGTACTTCAGTTTATAAGAATGTACTGTATCCATTGTAGTTAGTCAAAGTCCAAGATGTTGTCTTCAAATGTCCTGTATTTTTCAGTTTACAGTGATATAAATTAAAGAAAAGCAGGAAATGTTAATATTTAAGAAGCTCCAACCAGTAGCTTTTGGGGCATTTTTGCTTGAAAAAATACTTAAACAATTAGTTGATTATGAAAACAGCTGATTATTTGATAACTGTTTCAGCTTTAATGGATATAGACTCTTCAGTACACTACATTTTATCACTGTATGGAAAGTGAAGCAAACTGAAAGGAATGCTGAAAGTCACTGTGTATGTTGTGGTGATGGATAAATGTCCTCAGTGAACTTGGTAATGATGAAACCAGGCAGCAGCAGATTTAATCATATGCTTCTGTGATCCTCTAGCCCACCACCAAGCTGTTCATTGATGGCAAGTTTGTCGAGTCCAGCACGTCTGAATGGCTTGACATTCACAACCCTTTAAGTATTTAAAGCTAAACTACACCAAGCCAGCACAGAGGCTGTACTAAAAGCTGGCTGCAGATAACCACTGCAGCTTTGTAGGGGCAACTTGTGTTGGAGATAAATGTTGCTCTGCCAATTTCTAATACTATAATTTGTAAAATGAGCGAAATTGGAGCACAGTCTATACAGACAGTCATGTTTTATATCTTCCAGAAAGGCCTTTCCTGCTGGTCTGTGTCAAAAAAGCCTCTAGCATGGCAGTGATTAGATATTGTAGCATACAGAATCTACTTTTAATCACATAACATTTCAACGCTTTAAAGTATATGAAACAGACATTTGATTATTAATATTAATGGCTTCATGTACATGTAGTGAGACCAAGTAACTACTTCCCCTGCTCTGTCTGCATGGACGGTCTCCTGCTCCTCAGGTCACAAATGAGGTGGTGGGATGTGTTCCCAGAGCTACCCAGGAGGAAATGCTGTGCTCCAGAGCCTTCCACTCCTGGTCCCAGACCTCCATCCTCAGCTGGCAGCAGATTTTCCTGTGCTACCAGCAGCTCATCAAGGACAACACTGTATGTATGAGTATGTTTTTGCTGATGTTTGAAATTCATCCCCTGTTGATTGTTCCTCTTATATTTTAGAAAGAACTGGCTAAAATAATCACCTTGGAGCAGGGTAAAACTCTTGCTGATGCAGATGGAGATGTATTTAGAGGACTGCGTAAGTAACACATCGACTTGACATCCAGCTGCATTATGTGGTTTTTATATCCTGATTGGATTAGAGTGCTTGTGAATATATAGCAGAGATCAACTTCCCCTGTTGAAACTGTTGTCTATTGTATCCGTGTCTTTTTGATGAAAAGTCCTTAGCTTTGGCAGCGCTTGATACCCAAGCCTGGGTGAAAGTTTGATACTAAGTGGCTGCAGGGTGTCCATTATTTGAGTGTAACAAAATATTCTCTTTAAAAGTGGCTTTTTAAATTAATAATGGGACCACGGTTTGGCTATTTTGCCATATAGAAGCTTTTCATGAGGCTTTTAAAGTCTTCAGTTATCACAAAGTAAGGGTTAAGGTAACAGTATTCCTGCAACATTACATTATTCAGTCATGATAATGTGTTACTTTCTATGCATTTTTATGCCTTTCTGTAAAGCACTCAGCAGCCCCTGCTTTTAGATGCTTGCTTTATATAGATAATCATGCAGTTCTCCCCACTGAGGCACACTCATTCACTTTGGCAAACTGGCATCAACAAGAATCATGTTCAGGAATTTTAAGAGCCGCTTGTAAATAAAGGAAGATGTGTTTTGGTTGTTACAGGACGGCACTGCCAAGGAAGTTCTTGTACTTGGTATAGCTCCCAGTTTTGGGATGCCCAAATTATTCTGACACACTACAGTAACTTATCAGCTGAAAGACAGGCTACATCTGCAGGTGTGCTGCCAGCATGAGAGATTTCTTACAGTACTGGGATCACAGGTGCTCAAAGTTCTCACAAGTTCTGTTTCAGTTTAATCATAGAGAAAAGAAATGCATTTTATTAGGCAAGAGACTATGTACAAAGTGGATAATGCATTTTGATGTAGGAATTAAATCACCTTAAATGGCTCATATTTCCCTCCAGATGCTGCCTATTACTTCAATACTTTGTGTATCCCATATCTCAACATCGATTTAACCTTGCAGTGTTTTATTGGTTGACTTTACACTTTTTTTGTCATCCCCTCTACTTCAGTGGTGGTCAAGCGCACCTGCAGCATTATATCCCTCATGCCGGGGGAAACCTTGTCCTCCATCACCAAGGGCATGGACACACCTACTACCTGCCCATCAGAGTGTGTGCTGTATCACCCCGTTTAACTTCTTTGCCATGATTCCTCTGTGGATGTTCCATCTCGGCATGGTGTGCGGCATCACCTACCTGATGAAAACCTCTGAGTGGGTGCCAACCTGCACCGTGCTCTTGGCCAAAATGCTTCAGGATGCTGGAGCACCAGACGGTACACTCAACATCATCCACCGCCAGCATGCAAACGAGTGTGTGTGTGTCTGTCTGTCTTTGTGCTTGTTCTGAAGCACATGATCTGTATGTGAAATGGTTGGAAAAAGGTCCAAGGACAATTCAAACACTAATCATGTACCCCGCGGCAATATGTAGAAAAGAACATTTCCATAATATATACAACCTATATTTGTAAGTAATTCACAAGTGTTGGAGGCAGAAGGATTTAAATCTCTGTATCCGAGGCCTCTGTGCTCTTATGTTTTGCCTAAAGGGTGCAGCACAGATAAAGACAGGATTTACACGTATCTTTGTGTAGAGGTGAACTTCATCTGTGACCACCCAGCCATCAAAGCCAACAGCTTTGTGGGCTCCAGCCGGGCTGAAAAATACATCTGTAAGCAGGGCTCCAAGTATGGCAAGCGTGTGCAGTCCAACATGGTACAGCAGAACTTAAAATACTCGTTTTAGCACACTAAATATACTTTTCTTTTATTAGGGGCTTCATTGTTTTCCATGGTAACAGTGTTCTTATTTTTTATGCGCACAAATGTATGGATCCATCTATTTACGTTTTTATTGTTACCATGAAAAGGTCTCAGTTCTTAGCTGTCAGTCACTGAGATTTGTAACATGTGATTAGCATTGTACTGCCTCAGATCTCCTACAGTCTACCGGAGACAGACCCTACAGAGCTGTGGCCTACATTTTGCATTTTAGGGTGCTAAGAACCATGATGTGGTGATGCCTGATGAGCATTTTCAACCAGCTAGTAGGTGCTGCCTTCGGAGCAGCTGGACAGCGGTGCATGGCTCTACCCATGAGAGCTGGCGGAGCACTCCAAATCACTCCAGGCCAGTGCAGGTAACTTTGAGTAACCATGTCAGTATTTGGAAAAATTTTATTGCTTGCATTTTGGTATTTGCTCTCATGTATTTTGATTGAAAGGATTGCCCTCTGTAAAAGGAAATGTTATATGTCTGTCCTGAAGGCGGTCAGCCAGGGGCAGATGTGGGTCCCCTGATCTCCCCTGAAGCCAAGACCAGGGTGCAGTCTTTGATCCAGAGTGGGGTGGATGAGGGCACCAAGCTGCTGCTGGATGGGAGAAATGTCATCGTCAAAGGTTATGAAAATGGCAGCTTTGTAGGACCAACCATCCTGGGCAATGTTGTGATGAGATGAGAACAGGAATTTGGCTGAGACAAAAGGTGCAACATAGCTGTCATTTTTTCACTTACCGAAACATCTAATACTATGCAAATGAATTTAGGGAATTTGGGAGTGATTTAAGAAACTTTGTAAAGTATAAAATGTACTATTAATAATGCTTCATGGAGACTTTGCTGTAGATGATGTGAAATCCTGAAGTTCTGATATGATCATTTTGCTGTGTTCTAGCCGGACATGAAGTGTTACAGAGAGGAGATCTTCAGACCAGTGCTTGTCGTGCTTAAGGTTGACAGTCTTAGTGAAGCCATTTCTATAATCAACAGCAACCCCTGCGGCAATGACACTGCCATCGTCACCACCAGTGGAGCTACTGTACAGCATGCAAATATACACGAGGTGGATGTAGGCCAGGTGAGAGATACTTTTACAGTGGCCAAATAAAAGGACATAGTCTGTTGAAGGTTTGGCTTTCAAACTGGGAAATAGACTACTCATCAAGTGCTTTTTTTTTTTTACATTTATTTTTGCAATATATAATAAAAGGCCAGCAAATCAAGAGGGTGCCATCACAGTGGAAACCCAAGGATACTACCCTGGGATGCTAAGCTTAATCGACAGTGCATCCATCATAACCTTCACTGACTTCTCACACACCTTAAGAGGAAACCCAAGGAGGAAGTGCGGAAATAAGTCACATGTCTTTTTAGGGACATATTCACACCAGGGTATTGGTTGGTTATTGAACTTTGAATATTCTGGACACTCTTGTTGCACAAACACACACTAATGCAAAATTACATCTGATTTGGTGACGAGAGACATTTTTTTTTGTGCTTTTTCCCTCCTGTTCACATCCTGTTCTGATCTGGTGAATCGTGATTTTAATCAAGCTCAGTAACTGTCATGATCCTTTGTGTGTTCCGGTGCCACATTTCTTAAAACCTAAAGAAGAAATCAAAAGCTTCAGGGATTCTGTTGCTGAGCAGTGATAGCAGAAGTCTTCTGTCAGTATCTTCTGTGGTTCTTTAGTTTGTTCTGTGTATCAGAGCATGGGGTAGATACTAAAGTATTTATAAATAGAGCAGTTGCTACATTGTGTTAACTCATTGTACTCCAGTACAATTGAAGCAGTGGTTGCTGCTCTTGTCCTCTAGATGTGTATCTATACTGAATCCAGTCCGGTGGTGGGATTTGTCTTCTGTGTGTCAGAGAGAGAGAGGTTCACAGTTTTGTACTAGTCTGTCAGAGTAATACTTTTTTGGTCATGAATGATGTAGATGTTAAATTACAATGTTTTACATATACATTTAAATGAGAAAACCATTGTGAAAAAGTATTAAGGGGATGAAAGTGTCGGTTGGTGTGCTGTAGTCAAGGTTCAGTCTGTAGTAGACATGATTTCATCCAGAGTATTTGAGCTACTTCAAACCTTGATTTCTCTCCTAAGAGTTGTGGCTGAAGATTGAGGGAAAACAAGATTATTTAAGTGTGTTGATCTGTTTGAATAAAGACACTAATTTGATTCAGCTGAATTGTGTTGAAATTGTCCTCTGGTTCTGTTGCATTGGACATTACATATTATGACAACATATTGGTATGCTAGAGTTAAGAAAGCACAGACAAAGGTTGCCAATTGAGCTCTACAGATGAAATGTGGGTGGTAATGTCTGAACTTGAGTCATTCTGATTCAGCAATGCATGACCTAATATTTTGCAGATGAAGGCATGCCACTGTTTTGACTAGCTGTGAAATGTAAACAGAAGTAATGCTCCTGGCAGAACATTAACCAGTGAATGTCTTTCCATTGACACCACTGACTGAAAGGCTGTGCACTGTTATTTGTGGGCTGTATGCCTGTGTTTTGTAGTCAGCATCTTTTATTTTGATATTCACTGCTGAGCCCTGCACAAGGCTGAAACAGCTGTCACCGCTGATGACGTCACGGCCTGAGGAGCGTGCCGCTATTCGGATATCATGGTGAGCCTTAACCGTGTTTAGCGTAAAAAAAAAAACAAAAACGTAATTTAACATGACTACAGTTCTGGACTATGTATTTTATTGTTTCCACTGCAGTTGTGGAGTTTTGTCTCCAAATTTAGTTCCTAAAGGAACCTGCAGCAGCGTGGGTCAGCTTACGTTAGCTAGCTAGCTTGTTGTCAAACTTGACTGCTCAGTCACCCTAGCTAAAGTTATCAGAGTTGACTGAGAACTAAGTTACAGTGTATTAACGTAGCTGATGTGAATTTCATTGCACAGATAACAAAAGTCGTTTTCTCTGGTATATAGCCTAGTATTGTAACTTTTTAAAAATAAGGAGAGAAAACTGGTGGAACGTTGACTGTTGAGACAACGGTAACGCTAAATCATCTTATATAACGTAGTCTGTATATAAACCATTAACGGCTAGCTAAATAAGACATAAGGCTGGTAAGACACCATTCATAAAAGGGTGGCTAAACCAGCCACAGTACACTCTAATAACACGAGATTATTTTTAGAAATACCGTAGAGCTGTGTATCTACAGACCCCTCCATCTAATTGAGGCTGTTAGCCTCTTATTTTGGAAAGCATATGATCCTAGTAAATACTGTTATTTAGCAACAGCACTGAGTATTTTTATATCAGGCACTGGTTCTGTGGTGTCACTTTGTCTTAGCTGCATGTGTCTGATGACTTTAGTCAGCAATGAGATTTTTTTTTTAAATCCAGGGAAGGTTCTAAAATTGTTGCTGAAGATGTTGATTATAAGATGAGTCAATAGATTGTGCAAGATAGTGTTCTCTGTTCTCCAAGGCCATTTTTTGCTCATCCTCGCTCCCTCCTTTGTAACCATAGATTTACTTTATATTGACTAAGCTGTAGAAAATGAATGAATGAATGATAGAAGTCACTGGAGAGAACAGTAAAACCATAGTTGCATAAAACTCACGGCCAGACCTTTTTCATACGCTGAAAAGAAAGGCTTGTAACATCCTAAAATTAGATAAGTTTTCACTTCTTTAATTTCTATATCCTGGTTTCAGGCGTGGTATCAGCCTGTTTATATTCACAGACCAGTATTGGCCAGTCTGTATTGATAATAGATAATAATGCAGAAGTGCAACATTGAAAGGCAAGTTCATGATTGTGGCACATCATCCAGAACATTTGGCACTGTCTTCCATACGTAACAGGTTCTGTAGATGTATGTAGGCTGGTGTATTTTTATGTAAAGTGTTTGTATGATTGTGTGCAGAAAATAATTTCAAATGAGCAAACAATCCAGTCCAAGAATTGAAGAGGTCTCATGCTTTGTTTTAAAGTCACACATACTGTAGCAGCGCGCACCCTTCTGTATTGAGCAAAGAAAACCTCAAGGGATTCTTTTATAGTTGTAACTCTAATTTATAGATGCCACTTAGGCTCTGAAACATTTCCATGATTAATAACTAATAAAGGGACAAAGCTAGGGGGCACAATTGCTAGACACTTCTTCAACAGTCACATGTCCAGTTGTAGCATTTCTATCCATTTTTGCAACGGCCTCCAGACAGTAGTGCAATTTAAATGCCTGAAATTTTCACAGGCAGTAACATTTTCAAGTAAACATATCCTTGATCCCTTAACTTAATAATTCCTCACATTAGATATGGGTTTTGCAAAGAGATGTTGAGACATGCTTCAGTAGTCGTGTATTGATCAAACATAAGGATCAAAGGATTCAAGTCCACCAATTTGAAATAGTGATGTCTTTCTAAATTCTCTACAGGAGTTGACTCAGCAGGGAGAGGTTGATTTTGGGATGCGCCCCTGTGGTTGGTTAGAATGTCTGATGGGGTGTGGCCAAATGCCCTGGTATAAACAACTTGATCACGTCCTACACTGTGTCTTGTCATGCTGTAATTGAACATCCCTCAGTACTAGTCAGCAACAGTTCAAGCAGATTGCTTGAGCAGTTCAAAGCAATTTAGTTGTATAATTCTGTCGCTGAGCTCTATAACAAGGCCTGTTGATTTTTGCTGATTCTCCAGAGTGAAGATGAAGTCCACCGTGCCCTTATTACTCTGGGTCCTGCTTACTGTTGCAGGGCTGAGCCAAGCTCAGGTCAAGACCTCTCTCATGGATTTGACCAACAGCATTGTGAGCATCCTACCCAGTCTCAGCCGCCCGGTAAACCACAGCCGTATCTTCTACGCAGTGATGTTTGATGCTGGGAGCACTGGGACCCGCATCCATGTCTACACCTTCATCCATAGTGACTCAGGTAGAGCTGGGCAGGGCTCAGATTACTTTGACCTGCTTTAATCATTTCATCATATTAGTCCAAGGTGAGAAACCTTTTAAATTGTACCTGTATATACAGAAGCAAAGATGCCATACTGTGTTAACATGGCATGTGAAACACTTAAAATGAGCAATTGATTTCCAATGCAAACAGCAGCATACCAAGCTGTTTCAGATCTTTATGCATTTCCTCAGGTTTCCCTCTATCCACTAAATTCTCACTTCTGAGGACATAGGTCATACTTGACATCGTTTAATAATAATCCAATTTTGCCAGTTAGTATGCCTCATCTTGAATATGGAGGTATGTTCTGCATATGTATGCTAAGCGGATTTAGTCCTTTTAATGCTTTTAATAGCTTCTGCATATTTGATGTGGGTGGATGTTGTGTCTTTTTTAGAGGAGCTGCCTGTTTTGGACAATGAGATGTTCCATTCCATAAAGCCTGGTTTGTCAGCATATGCTGATGCCCCAGAAATGGTGAGTTAATTGTCAAATCTCATCAGTTAATGTGAGCCAAAGAGGAAAGGTCTTTTGGCTCCTAAGAAACAGAAACACTGCCAGTAGTCTCCCTCTGTGTGGAATCAAATAGCTAATTAAAGTAAGTAGGAACTGACAAAAGCAAAATGACAAGTGAAGAATCAGGCAGCTGTGACTAACAGAACACGAAGTGTTGGCATTTTGTCAACACAGCCAGTCACCCTGTTGTCAAGGCAGTTCTGTGAAATGCTGTTTTATCATGAGCATTGTCTCTGGTTTTAAAGGCAGGACACACTGTGAGGATGTTATTGAAGGTGGCCAAGAAGACCGTGCCTCGCTTGGAGTGGAAGAGGACCCCGGTGGTCCTCAGAGCCACAGCTGGACTTCGGCTGCTACGCACAGAGAAAGCTCACGCGCTTTTGGACCAGGTAAGAGTGAATTGATACTATGATGCGAGATACGATTGAGATCTTGAAAGCACTGTTTACATAATGCCACCGACGCTGTAAAGTAGAGTGCAGTTTTTAATTGTAGGGGAGTTGTTAGGTGCTACATTGTCTGACACCTTCAAAGGAAAGTGCAACCTCTTCTGCAGTGAAGGAGGCAACGAAAAGAACATTTTCAGCGCTATGGCAGGTGGTACAGAAGCAGGAAGAAAGGTGTTGTTATCAGAGTGGTGTGAGCTTAGTGTTGAAGGTTCTTGTGGAGGGGATAAAATACTAATGGAAGGCCCGGGGCACCTTGGAAGATAAATGATACTTTATTAATCCCCTTGAGGGAATTAATTAATCCCTTCAAGTGGAGGGCACCTCTGGATGCGCTACCATTACACTAGATAACATTAAGGCCATTTCTCTGCTGCTTCCCAGGGCTCCCTTGTGCTCTCCTTCTCCCCCTTTCTCTCTTGCTCTTACCCACTCTGTGCTATCTTCTTGTTCCTTCTCAGGTCCAACATGTGTTTGATGAATCTCCCTTTCTGGTCCCAGACAACAGCGTCAGCATAATGAATGGCACAAACGAAGGTAACGTCTGTCCACCGATGAGCAATGCGTCTGTCAGATATCACAGCCACTCATGTTCTCTCTGCAGCACTTTGTAGGTGACATAAGTGATCCTTCTGCCCTCGCCTTAATGTGCTGTGCAGTTTCTGTAAGGAATCTTTGTTTACTGCAGACATTTGACTAAATTGCAGTAATAGTATAGCTATCTTTTATGATGACACTTAGAAAATTAAATTACTTTTCACCACAAAGTTGTTGTGGGCTGTAATTATGTGGTGAACAAAATATTATTGTCTGTTCTGCCATAGTGTAATTGATTTGTCAGCATTTCAAACTTGTTGAAATTACAGCTCTTACACATGTTTGCACATTTGTATACGAGGTAACCATTGTAATTTCTGCCAACATTGTCGTTAGCTTTTTAAAGATGAACTTGTGTATTCCACCTGAAATGACTGTTTTCTGTTTCTTGGTTTGCTTATTTTGTAAATGTAGGTATTCTGGCTTGGATATCTCTGAACTTTCTAACAGGTAAGTACTGTCTTCAGCAAAACACTAATATTTAATATGCTGTATATACAAATTTAATTTAGTGTCTGAAACTGTCATAGTGCCGTCTTCTGAATGTACACTGCAACAGTTTCTGTGCCTAAAGAAGACGCCTCAGTGTTGGGATTTTATGTTTGGGCTGCACATGTGCCAAATCACCCAAGGAAAAGTATGGCACTGTTTGCAATTTTCTGCTTTTCTGCCTAAATTGGTCATGAAATGTTTAATGGGTGTGTATAATAAAGGCAAGAAAGGTCATGATTGATTGTGTTTTATCAGCTTAGAAATTTTGTGTTTGTTGATATTTGACTTTGGTGAAGATCAGATCACATTTCACGACCAATTTATGCAGAAAACCAAGAAACTGCAAACAGTGCCATTACTTTTTAGCTCTTTCTGATGTGGCTGCTGGACTAAAGTGGGAAATGTTTTCAGGTCACCTGAATGCCCAAAACAAGAAGACAGTGGGGATACTGGATTTGGGCGGAGGTTCCACACAGATCACTTTCCTGCCAAAACAGAAGGTCTGTTGTTTAATTGCATGTTTAGAGATGTCTCTACAAACGAAATGTAATTTTTGGTGATTAGTAACCCAAGGTGTCCTTCATATTACACTGCAGAAAACCATTGAAAGTGTTCCTGTTGCTGATTACGTTGCCAGTTTTGACATCTTCAACTCAACATTTGAGTTGTACACTTACAGGTAGTAGTTTTGATAATTTCATAAAACATAATTCCATTTGAATTTTATGGTATTGTGTCAATCCCTGATTTAATCTATTAAAGGTGATTCTTTATATTCTTTTTAATTGGCCTCCATTATTGACTAGTTCTGCTACAGATGCCTCTGACTCTGTTGTTGTAACTTCATGTGGATCTATTATTTATCATCAGATGCTAAATACCATTTGTTTGGCCTATTTTCAGAATGACTTGTTACACATACACCGTTTTATGGTTGATTGTATTTTATCCAGCTACCTCGGACACGGACTAATGGCAGCACGACTGGCTACGCTGGATGCTTTGGGTGCAGAAGGTACTGTGCTATACATGAAGAAAAGGTGTTCTGTTGCCCTTAGCTGTGGGTCAGTGTTGTTCATTGAGTGTCTCACTGAGGGTGCTGAGTAACAGTGAGTCAGTTCTTTGCATTTCTCCCCTTGCCTATCTCTTCATCAAATACTGAGAGAAGGCAGTAACAAGCCTGACATGAATCACTGAAGGTCTTCAGAGAAAGTTATGTGACTTGATTTGAGGCTGCTGAGCCAGTTAAAAGATTAAATGAGTTATTTCTGTGCCCTCACAGGGTTGGAGTGGCGGGTTTTTAAAAGTTCCTGTCTGCCAAAGAAGTACAGCGATGAATGGAGCTTCGGAGGGCTAACCTACCATGTTAGCGGGGACCCAGATGGTAATGACCTGTTTAAGTGTAATCGAACATAAATAGAAGAAATCTAAAGCTATTGTTTTTGTGGAAGTACAGTGGGTTAAACCAATAGTCTTAACAGGCTATAAATGTCTGGCATATCTGACATGACAGAACATATGATGACAAAACACTCACAGCGAAGTCTATTAAAATGGACCTAACTGAATTATGCATCGTTTCATAATGTTGCTCCAACATGAGATGCATCATTTAAACCACTGTCTGTTTCCTCTCCAGGTTATTCAGGATACAAGCTTTGTTATCAGGAAGTACTTAAGGTGGTGAAAGGGATTATTCATCAGCCATATGAGCTCGAAGACAGCAGTGTTTTCTATGCATTCTCCTATTACTTTGACAGAGCTGTGGACGCGGGACTTATCGGTTAGTACACGCAGCCACTGTACACACCTTCTATAATTATACAGACCCAGTAGGATGTTTCTCCAATGGGAGACATGAGCAGGAAAATGTGAGTCATCTGCACCTGTCTCAGTGGATCTGACAAGCTTTAGGTATATTAGAGAAATTGCTGTCCTCTGCTAGTCCAAGCTGAAAGGCTGAAAGCTCTATTATCGGTATTATGGAAATGTGTATGTAGATGAGCTCTTGTAATGAATAGTATAGCATTTAAAATGTAAGTTTGATCCTAGTCACCCCTTGTTGCAGATGGGGTCCAAGGAGGGATGCTGGAGGTCAGAGACTTCAAGAAGAGAGCTAAAGAAGGTGAGATGGGCAAAGCAATGTATTGTTACTATGAGAGATTTGCAGCTCCCTGTACAATGTGCATCTCAATAGTCTGGAGTTCTATCCTCACTGCTGTCTCAAATCCTGTCCTCATCCCCTCAACTGAATACAGATTGACTGATTATCCAACACGATTCCCCTTTTCTCTGCACAGTGTGCAATAAGATGACCAAGTATCCTCTCATCAGTCCTTTCCTGTGTATGGACATGACCTATATCACTTGTCTTCTCAAGGATGGGTTTGGCTTCAAGGAGAGCACTGTGCTGCAGGTGAGATATTATTACTGTTATTAATCAACAGGATTTGTGGTCCTGCTTATAAGGATGCAACAGAAGGGATAAACTGGAAGCAACATTTTTCAAAGGCAGGAAGGCAATAAAAAAAAAATCAACTGTTCCTAGTTCAAAGATGTGTAACCCAGAATTAAATTTATTGAATCATTATTTATTAACTTGCATAAAAAAACAGTTGTCTGAAATAACTACGATCATATTAATTGACCCTGGATAAGTAAATGGTGATGTATAATGCTACTACCTCTGATCCTTTTAGTTAAAACACTTTATAGTACTTTTTAACAAGCAGTCAAAGGAGTGACTGAATGTATCTCATAATAAGGAGCACAATTCCTACTCTGAGGTGAAGGAGAAAAAGATTCTAGACAAAAATTCTGTTATTTTATTTCAATAAATACAAAATGCATTTGGCTGATTGGGTTTCTCCCCCTTCTTAGCTGACCAAGAAAGTGAACAACGTGGAGGCGAGCTGGGCTCTGGGTGCCATGTTGGACCACTTCCACAACCTGATCCACTGAGGGGAAGTGAAGAACAAACACTGCTACTTAATAACAAGTAATGTGCACTACCTTATCTAAGTGCTCCAGACATGTGCTGTTTGTTTCACAAGAGCAGAACTAACCTCATGAGTAATTCTTAATTTCTTTTTAAAAAGCAATCATTCTTACGTGTTGATATATTGAGCTATAAATGAGCAGTGTGTTCCCTTACTCTAAAAGTGAATCGCTGGAGGTTAACATTTCAGTGAAACATGTTACCAGTACCACTCAGTTTATGCAGCTTTGGGCATTACTGAATAATAATAATAATAAATGTTTGTCTTATTCAGGCTGATAAACGGGGTGGTCTGGCTGGTTGTGCTGTGCAAGACCAGTGTATACATGCAGCAATATGAGACTGTGCTTCCAGTTTTAATGGAAAGTGTTTTGTTATTACTAACAAGGATAATGGGGTTTGTGTGTGTCTGGCTATATTTAAGTTAGCAATATGAGTTTTAGGTAAAGTGGGACTTGTCTCTCATTTGAGACCATTACAGCATTTCAACCCTCAGACGTCGGGTTACACTGATTTGCACAGAACAATGTACGCTCATTATAAACCTCTCATTATTTCTTTGGGAGTATTTGTCTTGGAAAAACTTGAGGAAAAAGGCTGTTTATACAAACTCTGCCATTTCACACTTGTCAAAATAAAACCATTATTGGTTGCTAATTATATCTACAGGAGTTAAAGTCAGTGACTAATCTGTTTACAGATGTCTATGTTTAATCCACTGTGAGTGAGTCTAGTGCTGCTGAAGTAGGTAGAAAATGACAGCTGTCATGGCAGACTACAGCAGTGCCACTACATCATCTCCATATGCATGGCCTTCGGTCGTCATGGTCACCAGCTCATGTGGCTGAGAGAGAACTACCACGGAGTCTGCAGAGCCTGAAGGGAGGGACACAATCACAAAGGCAAGTTGAAAGAGGAGAAAATTCCCAATCCTGTCGGTGAATCCCATTTCCACTAAATGCATCCATGTTCCCCTCACTTGTCTTTTCCTTGTGTCAAATGCAAGAACAAACTGAGAAGAGAGCGGAACCAAGGAAATGCGTTATAACTGACATGAGACGTCCTTTTCTCAAGTTTCCAATCACCAGCTGATTTCTGATAAATGGGAATGTCAGTCTAACAGATTTTTTGTGAAGGATACACTCGTGTATCCTCAAGCAGCTTCCTCCGTCCTCACTCCTGTCCTCAAATGAGTACAAGGAGATGGATTCACTAAATAGTGAATCACCTGCAGTTTTTTCTTAAATTTAACAGTCAGTCAACAGGCATAATCAAAGTTACATCATAAATGATGGCAGTAATTTCACTGTGGTTGTAACTTGGGACCACTATTCGACAAAAATCCTGTGTTTGACAAGATTTTTGTGACCCTTTATTCTTGCCATGTTACATAATTTTGTGGTGTTTATAACCAATTCACTGCAGATAGAGGTAGCAACTATTCCACAACTATTAAGCCTCAAGTCAAATGAGTCAAGAAAACTAAATGGAAGGAACTAAACAGGAAAACTGCTGCGTCTCAAACGGTGATTAAAAACACTTCACGAGACAGCAACACCACATGTTGACTCAGCGCTTCTGGCATAAACAGAACATTAGGAATTTCACCAAGTTAATGTTTACTCCAAAGCTGCTGTACTGTAGAATTCTTTGCTTTTGTGTATATTTTGTGTTATACATGTGCAAACACCTACCTGGTGATCTCAGCATAGCATGATGAAGATTCATGGATTCCACAGTTGTTGTCATGGTGACCATACTATCTCCGTTTTCACCGTCAGCCTCCAGGAGGCTGCTTTGTGTCAGAGCCTCTCCTGTCAGTGGCAAACAACAAACCTTTGTTTTTCCCCCACACATCAATTCACAAGAAGTATGAGATGGAGAGTGACACATAGCCACCATCAGTCTGAGAAATCAATGTTCAAACCTGAAATCTGCTCATTATTACTGACTTTCTAAGTTAGTTTGCCGCTTTTTTTTTTTTTAAGGACTAGCAATTCCAACACAGTCTGATTTATCCAGTAACTGTTAAATATAAATAACACAAACTACCCCTCTGTTGTGAAGCTGCTCTGCTTTTACAAAAGACAAGCCTCTTTGGGGAGGCTGACCCGAATAAATCTGTTTATAATTAGAGCTTTGGCAGCATTTCCTCTGTGGTGATTCAGCTGCGGTGGCTCCCCACTGGTAGAGAAATGTTACGAGAAGGCGAGTGTGCTGTCTGCTCTGATTGTTTCGTGCTACAAAACTAATTTAAGTTGATTTTGTACACTCAGACCATATGCTGGAATGTAACAAGCTCACTGAGAGACATTTTTAATCCAAAGAGGTACTGAAACGGAAACTAAGAATGGAGGCAGGAGTGAATGTGGGTAAATTTGCCGGTGGCAGATTTATTCCACTATCCATTTGTTTATCTCGCTTACTTGTAAGGAGAATACCAAGAGACATTTGAATAAGGTGAGATAAGCCTGAAGACATGAATTTGAGTTAGCCCCATTTTAATTTTGATATTACATACTTTTCAGACTAATTCAACCTCATCCTAACAGGCCTCCTTCTGCAGTAGAGTTGTGCTGTGTCTGCTTTTTCAAAGATATGAGCAGTCTAGAACAATTCAGCTACAAACCCTGAAGAAAAAAAAAAATTATGATAAATTTTTAAGTGCCAAAAGTCATTAATGATTCAAGAAATGTTCCTAAATGTAATGCGGACCAACACCAGTGCCATGCACGGTAAGATGTATAAACTCCACAATCCAAGGATTAGCATATCCACCTACTGCACTGGGTGTGGGTGGGGGTGTGTGAGAAGAAGGCTGAGAGAGAGAGAGAGAGAAAGACCTGTTTCTCTGCTTTCGCTGCTGAGCCCCTCCTCTCCGTGTCTCTTTCTCATGTGGACATTTCTGCTGCCAGACTGAGAGAAAGTCTTCCCACAGATCCCACAGTGATGAGGCTTCTCACCTAGTAGACAAACAGAGAAACACAAAGAGATGCACTATCTGTTCTGAACTGATACAGCATGCATCTCTTCAGTTCACATGATCATATACTATATCTGGCACACAGTAATTACAAAGAAGTACTTTGCTGTGCAGCTGTAAAACTGTGTCCCACTCACCAGAATGTACGAGCATGTGTTTTCGTAGACTGGAATACTCTGCGAAGGATCGCCCGCACCCATCTGCTTCACAAAGAAAAGGTTTCTCTCCTGGAAGCAGCCACCCACATATACATACTGTTAACTCCATGATGCAAAGACCTAATGTAGTAAAATCTCTTTACTGCAGAAATGTGCTTTAAGTGTCAGATGTGAATGTGTTTAAAGCGATCTTAATGGCCCAACGCTATGCAACAAACTAAATCTATGGAAGTGTTGAACACTTTTTTTTTTTGTTTATGGGATCTGTGGTGATAGACGACCTATTATGACAATGTAAAAAAAAATGTAGTAAAACTTCTAATTAAGCAGCTTAGTATAGCTCACAGAAAACTGTTCTGAACGCATAGCAAAATATAAACACTGCACAGTATAGCTGATCTAACCAGTCCCTAGAGAGAAGCAGCAGACTGTGGAACAGGCTATCAAAAATCTTAATGTCACCCTAAATAAAACATGACAGAGTACTGTTGCTCATTGCAGCAGTGAAATGGAGGCGCCAGGGCTGCTGACGCTTCAGATCTCCAGCCTTGACTGCACCAAGGAAGCATTAAATGAGCACAGTCAAATGGCCTGAGTCAGTTAATGCTTCCAGCATGTTTTGGACTTTTATATGTGGGTATCTTCTGCACCCCACCTGTGTGTATGCGTCTGTGGTTCTTCAAGTTTCCTGCAGTGGTAAACTTCTTGCCACAATTCTTCTCCTTGCAGATGAAGGGTTTCTCACCATTGTGAGTCCTCATGTGAACCTGCAGCCTCTGCAGCACATAGAAACTTTTCCCACAGCCCTCTGTGCTGCACCTGAACATTCGGTCATTCCTGGGAGTCGAGATAAGCAAATAAACAAGGCTGATTTTCTCCTCTGCACGTTTCCTTTGCAACAGCCCTGAACAGGGTCAGACAGAGCAACCGCAAATAGATTTCCAACACTGAAGTTAACTGAACCCATGCAGCACAAGTACACAGTTCAAGTCTCAGCTGTTTTTCTCCCATTTGCATGCTCTCCCTGCTTCCACTGCAAAATAATCAGTGGTAAACACGACCTGAGCTGAGTATATACTAACTTAGTCTCAAAAATCTTGGAAGGGGTGCAAGATTATACGTGTCATCCAATAAATATTAGTGATACAAGTTTTGCTGCAGGTAACAAAGAGTTTCAACATGCGATTGTGAAATTATTTAAATTAGCTTGGACTCTTTTTGGACTCAACACCAAATATTTGTTGCATTAAATGTTAGGATTGTGTAGTGGTAAGAATCTGGTGATATGATGTATATCACAATGAGAGGATTATGATTTGATATATTGTGATATATCACAATACAGTAAACAAGGTGATTTATTGTTTCTTAAATCTATTTTTAGAAAAATTCATAAGCAACACACCACCATATGCATGAAATCTACTGTTAAAAGGCTTAATTTTTATGTAATCAGAACAAGGATCTGCATTTGTCACAGTCCCTGTAACATCCAACAACATACCACTACTTGGCATGTGAACTATTAATTTAAACCAGATATTGTGTTTTTGAGAATCGATACAGTATCGCAAAGCATAATATCATGATAGTCAAGTGAATCCGTATTTTCTTACAGCCCAAGTTACAGGTAATATTTACTTTGAATTTTCAGTCAGAAGCCAAGGCTGCAATGCACAGAACCGTGGTGTACAATAACTTCTATAAAAAGTTGTAAAGCGGATTAACCTGCAAGCTTGCATTATTATTTTTCAACTTGGAAAACGTATCCACATTAGCCAGGATTTGCACAGGGCTGAATATTGATGATTTGGCAACAGCATCTTGTTGGGACTGCTGCCTGATTCTATTATCTTCCACTGCAGGGTGTGTAAACATCTTACCTGTGTGTTTTGAGGTGGTATTTGAGATGAGCCGGCCAGGTGAACGTCCTGCAGCAACCCTCAAACGAGCAGCGCAGGATCTGCTTGGAGAGGGGGCGGCTGCTCCGAGACAACAGCTCTCGCTTATCTCCGTCTGCTGTCAAACTCTGTGTGTGGTCACCTAGGCAACCAGAAGCAAGTGTGAGTGAGGTTGAGCAGAAAACAATCCAGTAGCGCCAGGTGGCCGGCCTCTGGAGCCTGGCTGTATAAAAGCTAATCACTGGGTACTGACTGAGACCCGCCGAACAACCGCAGCCAAAAGAAAACAACCGGAAGCTGAATGCAATCACTCTCGTTTAACCTGCCTACACTCCCCGCTTTGAATGTCTTTAACAGTTCCAATTTTGCTTGCAGCGTGCCAGCAGTAGTGCACCTATAACTGATAACCCCAGTGCTGAAGGAAACTTGTCTAATCTAATGCAAGTTGGTGGGAGGGCAGCCATTACAGTGTCTCAGTTAGAGGAGTTGAGACCCACACTGGAACCAGTTCCAGTCTGCTGCAGACAGAGCTAGTGCTTCACCAGCTCAAAATAAGCTGATACATTTCTCACTCTCCTGTTCTGTTCTTGGCAGATCATGTCAGACATCCAGGGCTGGATCTGGAAAAAAAAAGGCCTCTATACTTCATTTTGATAAAAAATAATAAGGTAAAGGAGAAATCACACGTTTTAATAAACATGCAATATACAATGAAGATGCATTTAAGCAGATGATTATGAACCACAAAAACAGGCTAAACTGGAATGACAGAAAATAAACTGGGACCCAGGGAGAAAGGCAGAAAACGTCACTCCAGGATCACTTTTTAATCAGGACCTCCAGCTAAAATAGGCTCCAGTTAAAATAGGCTGTGATGTAGTCTTGACTCCTGGTGTGAGTCAACAGCGTGATACAGCACTGTGTGCTGCAGGATAGACATCTGTCTAATGGTCAGAGTAGAAGCTTTACACTGAGATAAGGTGAAGATGCTGATGGCTATCACTAAGTACGAAACGTATAAAATGCAGCAGGAGAAGAGGGCAACATAACTGACTCAACAATGAAAGCAGAGTTTGAAAGGCAACTTAAAAATATTATACCAAAGCAAATCTGTGCAGTTGGTGTTGTACCCTACTCTGTGACTCCATCCATTTCTGTGAGCTAATCGGGAATTTCAGCCATACTACCACTGCACATATTTTTATTCTACTTCACTGTATGCTTTGTTTATGACTGCTATAACCAAACATGGTTAGAAACAGTGTTTAGAATGGGTCACAAGGCCGGTGCTCAGTCCTTGCTCGATCTGGAAGACATTCTGGTCCATCATGATGAAGGAAGTCTCAAAGCTCTTATTTCTGCTCTGAGGAGCGAGGAAGCTGCCTGGAGGAGCTATAACCAAGGATACACGAGTGCATCCTTCACAGAAGTCTGTTATGGATTAACACACTCCTTTGTAGCCTGTAGCTGCAGTATGTTAACTGTTTCCACCTGATTCCAGCTAAGCTAATCCACCTGGCTGCTGCATGCATCTTAAAATTAAATAGACACGTTTCCAAAGATGTTGAACTATTCCACCAGCCTTGTCTGGGGGTGTTCTATTATCCTTTCCTGAAGGTTATCCTGATGGCTTGATTACCTGGTTGACCTGTTTGTCTTCCTCTCTGTCTTGTCTTTCTTGTTGCTTCTCTTTGCTCTTGTCTAACCTGTGTGTGTCTTTATGGCCACTGCAGTTTTAGCGCCTCACTCCCTCTCTAAGGCCTGTATTAGTCATAATAATAAATGCACATCAGCTCATCACAGACAAAGCACACCAGCATGCACTGAAACATGGTCATACTTCACGATAATGTAGCATTTACTGCTCTACAGGGTATTTGTAACCAAACCTCTTAAGTCTATTTAGACAAAGCTACAAATTCATTTGGATTCAGTTTTAAGATGAGAAGTGTTGAACACAGTTTCAGTCAGTGCTAAATACACAGAAGTCTCATCTCACTGACCTCGCTTCCCTTCTGTCTGACTTGGATGGCTGCCATAAGTAAACCAGCAGAAAAACGTGTTATCCCTGCACACAGGCTTGTTTCTTTGTTATTTTGCTTGTTTTTCTTATTCTACTCTAAAACGTGACATTACATCACAGACAGCTGGTGGCAGCACTGCATACACTCATCAACAGAATAGCACAGTATTTTTCTGTGAACAGCCTGTTTGACAATGTTCCAATAAAAACTAGAGAAACATTTCTGCCTGTGTAGAGAAGACAAAGTGACCTTACCATTGCTGACGCTAGCAGCTCTGGCATCTTGGCTGGCCTTGGCATCTCTTGCAAGCTGTGCCCGCGTGGCGGCAATCAGGCTGTCATGTGCCAGCTCCTGGACCCGCAGATACCAGGGAGCGCTGCCGTCTATCCCGTAGTCTCCCGATGAGACGCCCTCGTCGTCATCCTCTCCTGTGCCATCTGCAGCAAAGATCAGGGACTCAGAGGAGGCGGTGATGCCTGAGAAGGAAAGAAAGACAGTGAAACAAGAGAATCAAGGCAAATGCAATGTTCTGTAAGATCAATGGACTGAGCCTCTCCAGGTCATATTTCTGAAGTCATTAATGTCCTCCCATCTTGCTCAACAATTTTGGATTTAATGTTACGGCTTTACTCTGAAAGGGGAAGAGGATAAATATTCACAAAAAACAATCCCTCTTCATTCAGGAAATGAATTTGTAACAACAGACGGAAAACAATTCTGTCTACACAGAAGTCTTTTCTATCCTCACATCTCTCAGACAGAACCTTGCACTCGGTACAAAAGGTGTACATCAAGGGACCAGAATTAATTTATTACTTCAACTGAATGTGTCTGCCAAGGATCATTTGTTCCAGCCAAAATAATTCACACTTTTTTCATAAAAATGTGTCACCACATTTCTTTTTACTGCTGTGTGTGGAATCAGAAGCTGTGAAAGAAGCAAAGTTTGGATGCAAGCTCAGATTTTAGAGTTTTAATGTTCTTTTATTGCAAGTCATCAGAAAGTGACTCATCACAAGGGAATAATGTTAGGTTTTTTTTAATGAGGGCTGTGGCTAGAAACCTCTAATAATTTGTTTCAGTTGATTGTATGACCTAGAAAATGTGGACAAAACAAGGAAATAGCCATAATAAGGTTATGTAACAAGAGGAAACACTGATTTTCTCTGTTCTTAAAAACAAGACACTTCTGCTTTGCTTACCTTTTCACACCAGCACTAAACAATCAAATGTTAGTGTCACAGAAATGAAAAGATCAGTGTGGTAAAGTGATGCCTTGATTATATACCATATGGACTGTAAATGGTAAATGGACTGTATTTTATATAGCACTTTCTCACAGTGTGTTGCACTGGCCAAAGCGCTTTACAGAAGATCATACACCATTCACCCATTCACACACCGATGACAACAGGCTGCCATGCACCGGCGCTAGTCAAGCCACCATGAGCAATTCGGGGTTCAGTGTCTTGCTCAGGGACACTTAGGCATGCAGGGAGACCGGGAGTCGAACCACCAACTTGCTGGTCAGGAGACGACTGCCCTACCTCATGAGCCACAGCCACCCCATATACTGCAGCTTGGTAGGTATAACTGTCTGTTTCTATGTACATGTTGGCAGATTGGTGCTTCTTTACCTTTTGCCAGGTTTAGCAGGACGTAGGAAGTGCTTTCTGACTGCTGCAGGTCATGGAGGATGGGTGGGGGGCTGGGTGAGGCCCGTGTGTGAGAATGCGTCTGAACCACTAAGGGGGTTCTCGCCGATACACCTCCAAACTCTGACAGGGCGGTAGAGCTCTCATGCTCATGGCTCAGGGCTCCATCTGAGGAGGAAATCAGTCTGTTAGTTTCTGATTTGAGGAAAACAACGAGAACCATCTGTAAACAATCGGCACACATGCACTCACTGTAATGGAAGTCTCAGAGGTAGTAAATATGATTTATCAAACATGGATGTGCAAAGAAAATGCAAGTTTAAAACACTGAAACTGAATATAAACATGACAAAACTCCAGATAACACCTTTAATTAATATGGTAATACACTTCTATGTATATGATTGTATATGATGTATCTGCATTGTCAGATATTCACTTACAGGGACAATTATGCACACGTGCACACACACACACACACACAGATATACACCTAAATCATGATTAGCACATTTACATGTGGAACTGAATCTAGATTGTCAGTTAAACATTTCTGGATTTGAGTTATTTACTGTTTTTCCCCATTCTGTTCAACTTCTGTAAAAACACTGCAAAGATTGAGCAACCAAGGGACAGAGGCGTAGCCTTTCCTTGGCACAGACATTTTAACTTTGGGACTCTGACAGTTAAGCTTTTTTGCCAGTTTATAGATTTCATACATCAGAATAAGGACAAATATGCAGCAACATTACTGCAAGCATGGACCATGTCTAACCACTGTAGTAAATAAAACATAAGGCAACAGATTGTTGGCCTAATAATAAAAACATTTGTTGTACTCAGCCTGCAGGTTATAGTGTAGCTGTCTATGTTTATGAATGGACAGGAATTTCAGTGTTTGTAAACCATAACATTCAAAGCAAAAATAATTGTTGACCACTGGCATTTGTGTACATGAATTCTAGTATTCCGACCAGTGGTGGGGAGCATTTCCTTATCCAGATCAAAGATCTAAGGACAGAGGGAGTCATATGCTGTACATATCATAAAATCCCTTGAGGCAAACTTGTAATATTGGCCTATATAAATAAAATTTGACTTTGCTTGACTGGTGGGTATGACAAGACTTAAGCATTTGCTGACCTGTGAGTTCCAGAGGGCTGCACAGGGTGCTCTCAGCCGGAGCCAGCAGAGGCAGGCAGGGGTGTTTGGACTCAGAGTCCTCCAGGCCCTGCACCAAAGGAATAGATGCGTTCTGCACAAACTGCACCAGCAGCTAAGAGGGGAAACAGACAACAAGACAAATGTCAGGACATGAAACCCACGTGTTATTTAATGTATTAAGCCACACAAAATATACTCCATAAAGATGGAATATGAGAATGATGTAAGATTACCTCTGGTTTGGAGTCAAGCTCATCAGAAAGCATGGGTCACCCTGTATGAAACCAGTGGAATAAAAGGATAATAGTGATCCGTTAAACGCACCCAAATTTGCTGCCACTGGCTCAAGTTTAATAATAATACTTTAAAAAGAGACTTTCCTCGAAATGGACCTACTAACTGTGAGATTCTTTCCCGGTCATAGGCTCAGGCTGCAGGTCATCTTTGAGTCAAAACCATCACACTACCACACTCTGCGATCAAACAACAGGACAAAACGTCAAATTAACAAGTAAAAGTCTCGACTTTACTAGCTGACAGCGAGTCAGTACCAGTTCTGACAATGAAACAACATTAAATGGAATGCAGCTAGCGTTAAAAACGGGCAATGCTCGACATTACAGTCACAGTTCTGCGTCAACACTGTTGGAGAGACAGCCAACAACTTAGCTAGGAGGGTTAACAGTTACCAAAACTAGCTACCAGGGCTACCAGCCAGATGTTAGCTACCCGGTGTCAAATCCTGACCGCGGACGATACGCCGTTCATGTATTTAATAGCATTAAACATACAGTATCATTAGACTACTTTGTTTACCTTGTAACAGTCGTGCAATTTAACTACAGCGTGATGAAATAGCTGGATAATTGTCTCACCACAAACTAGCAGATCTGTTCTACGGAGTCCCTGATGGAACAATGTTTGAACACTTCCGCGTTTTCCATAAAATGGCCCTGCGTCACTGACGCCATCTAGTGGCTAAAATGTACCCTACGTAAAGTCAAAAGAATATGTGCACTGTATAAAGGTCTACTAAAGCTCAGGTGCCGGATTTGGCCAACAGCAAAACATTTAACCTGGAAAAGTAACCGAGCTCTAATATCTCATGATCACAGACACACTTGAGCCTATTTTTTGGCATTGTCCCCGAGAGAGTCTGTGAAAATAGGTTACTGTAAATTATGTGACAAGACTATTGCATCATGAGTAAAGATGTCACTTTCAAAATCATTAAGCATGTTTTGATCTAGCAAAATTGAAAAACTAAAATTCTATTTCATTGCAGTGTAGTGGAGGCATAATAGACTTTAAGGATCGCCATATGATGCCATTTATGATGTCAGTTTGTGCTGTAAGACAACATATTTCTATTTGATTTGTTTTTTTCTCAGTTTGCCAGGTGTGATGAGAGAGGTGTGTGGAAAAATCCAAAAATAAACACTTCGGTCTTGTGGTTTCTCACCTCTCTCCTGGATTCAACCCCTAATGCTCTTCCTCTACATGTAACTGCAAAGTGCTGTGTGAACTGACAATCAAGAAGCAGTACCATTATTTTCAACAGAAATGACTAAAAAATGAGAAATATAACATTATATTAATGAGAACATTGGCTTTGGAGAGACATTTATTATTACACAAACAATGAGCCTGTAACTTAAACAAAAAGAGCCCTAAAGCACAATGCATCAAACCTTTCCCCATCTCAGTTTACTGACATTTGATTGGTAAAGGTGAAGTGTCATTATTTATAGGTCCAGGGTCCTCAGAGGCTTTAAACTAAAACATGACAGTTCTTGCTAAATCCTCCACAGCGACAAGTCACATGAGGATTTTAACTTTCTGCAGTTACATTTTTAGAATTGAAAAATAATTGCCTGCAAGCTCCACTGCATTTCAGTCTGCATAATTACATCAAAGGAATCCAACACCCAGCCTTTCCCAACACAATTTCATCATTTACCATAAAACAAACAAGCAAAATTATTTTGGTTAATAATAATATTCCAATCACCACTGTTGGAAACAATCACAATCCTTTTTCCAAAGATTTCCAGCATCTTGAAAATGAAAGAAGGCAGACTGAAACGCACCAAGGAAAGGCTTTTAAATGAAAAACTCACAGGCCGATGTTATAAAATTACAAATGTAGAAACAAAACTATTCTTTTCAACTTTTCAATTCGCTTATCGTTCTGAATGCTAAAAAAAGAAAATAATGGTCACATAACACGATCATATCACAAGGGTAATAATCTATGCCAAAGCATGGAGCATATACAATCGACTAATCAGACTTATGGCTTGATACAGTTCAGTCAATGATGTGGATCATTACAGTGAGCTGATGATGTCCACCCTCTAATAGATAAATGTGCTATGGTAAAAGCTAAAAGGCCGCAGACAAGGAACGCTCTTAAAAAAAAGATGGATATAACCAGCATTATGCTATTTTCAGCCAAAACCTGACCGATCTATTTGATATTTCAGCACCATCACTTCTTTCACTGGCAGCGAAGCAGTAACAGAACAGTAAAATCTAATTTCACTAAAATAATTTAAACAAACAAACAAACAAAAAATAATAATTATATTAACATCAGTTCCAAGAATATAGCATCTGGGTGTCTGATTGAGGAGGAACTTGTCTGCAAAAGAGTTCAAATTAACTCAGGTAAACATTTAGGTGAATGTGTGAGATGTGTTGGTGGGCCAAGAAATAAAAGGAAATTTGCATTGGTAGGCTCCCAACTCTGACAAATGTTTGACAGCTGTGACAAGAGCCCAAACATGCTGGCTTTTTTTTTTTTTTTTTTTTTTTTTTGCCTAGAAAGACCCAAACAGTGCCAGCAGCCTCACTCGAAGCCTTCATTAAAGGCTTAAACTAATTACTGCACAGACAAAGCCCAGACATTATGAAAAGTCACATCATGTTGCTTTTCCATGCACCTAAAATGATTTTGCTGTGAGTCAACTGTGGCTTATAAAAACCTTAAACTGAGAACTGAAAAGGATTTACAGTATAACTGTGGTTGCCACGTTTACAGACCGGGTGACAGCATGTAAGTATTTCAGTTATTTCTGCAACTCCTCCTACTGAATTTTGGAAACCATGGGTCATTAGCATAAACACAAAAACACACTGAAGTCCATTGATAAATGTATTGTAGATCTTCTGAGCAGTTGGATTAAAAACATAGCACACAGCTTTTTATGTGTTTTTACTTGTAGTGCACAGAGGTATCCGATTATCAATGTATCATTGGCCTCAACATCATGTTAGTGTTTTTTTGCTGAGGAGCAAATATGCAAGAAA